CGTACTATACACACGGGGGGCGGGCGTACTATGCACAGGGGGGAGCACACTGACCCTCCTTCAGTTGACGCGTTTCTGAGGACAGACCTCTTTCATCAGATACCTGAAACATCACTATCTTTGCCTTACTCTTAAACAAATGGCGACACTTTTTAGATCACAAAGGGAACTAGTATTCATGCGCTTTTAGCGCGCTGAGCTCCTGCTTTGTAAAGTACTTAAAATGCGTCGGCGTGACCAGGACCTTGTAAACTGCGTCATGTCCTCAGGCATTTATTTCTGGTGTCAGCATCTCCTCTGTGGGAAAAGGTTCTGAACGAAGGGAAGCTCATTTGCTGAGAACCAGCACTAGGTGGCGCTCTCCTCAAGATGTTCATGTTTCATCAGCCTGGAAAAGCACAAAGCACGGATGAGATGTGTTCTCAGCCAGCGTTGGATCCGTATGCTGCTCATTTACAGCCAGAAATGTGTTTGGGGGGGTTTTTGTATGTTTTTGATGTATTTTGACTGATGAGTTTTACTTTTAAAAAATAGAAAAATATATTGCGGTGGATGTAAACCCTAAAAAGGTGGCTTATAGTTTGCTCAAGCACCGTGCATGATAAACAATTGCCATATTTTTATTTTATATAATACTTTTCTTTTCTCTTTTTTTTTTCCCCATCTTTTTGTATCTCAGTGCTACTGATCTCCTCCAGTCTCTTTCAGCCACTTCCTGTCTATATGCAATCGCTCCGGCGTTGGCTGCACATCAATGCTCTGAAACGACTTCCCGAAAGTGGCCACGGTAGACACGTCTCTCCAAAACGGCCATCCACGCGACAGCTTGTAGTCTCCACCCAGGGGCTCATGTGACAGGGCGACAACGCAGAAGTACAATTAGAAGATAGGTGTCACCTTATAACCGCAGGCTACTGCAGAGACAGTGGGCGGCCCGCACCGGGTGACACCAAAATGACTGACAATCATTTTGGTGTCACCCCCACTGAAAAGTTGGGCACTTGATCATGGACAGAGAAACCGACAGCCGCACAAGAGCAGGATGAACGTTCCCTCCTCTCTCTACCTAGATATCAACCGTCAAGACGGATAGCACGCGAGTCTTACTGCAAATTACTGCAACTCAACAGAGTGAATCTGGGCTAAAATTATCCCTGGTGATCCTGCCATGGAGATCTTTTTTCAGGCCAGTGGCCTAACAATCGCCATAGCAACCCAGACGGCCGCTGTGGGGCACAGGGGGGCCCGGCCAGATTGCGAGCGGACCGCCTGGGTCGCTATGGCATCCTCTGCTGGTGGCTTTCACTGGCGGCTCTGAAGAATGCGCCGCTGTTCAGATCAGTGACCGTAATCTGTGCAGCAGCGCGTCCGTCTCCAGAGCCCCTGCTGAGTCAATGAGAGCCAGCAGAGGCGGTGCAGGAGGCTGGACCCGTGGTCGACAGCAGGGGAGGAGGCAGGGCCTGGTGACAGAGGAGGCGGGGCCCATCAGCGAGCATGGAGGAAGAGGAGGCGGACAGGTAAGGAGTGCGACCAGCCCACCTGAGGGTGACCCTGCAGAGCCCACCATAGAGAGTGGGAACTCAAGTGGGCTCTGCAAGGGGTATAACTAGAAATCACAGGGCCCCATACAAAATGTTGCTATGGGGCCATGTGATTCCTAGTTACGCCCCTGGTTCAGGCACTTCCTGTTATAAGGTGACAACGCTCTGTCCCTGTCTCTCAGTTGTGCTTCTGCATTGTCACCACATGATCGGCTCTGGTAACCAGCAGGAAACCCGCCCTGAGAAGCGCCATGCAGCCATTGCAGAAGTGCATGTAGGCACCAAGTGGCTGCAGATCAGCCGCGCTGAGGTGCTACAAGGGATGAAAAGAGTTTAAAAGCAAGTATTTTATTCAAATAAAATGGCCATAGTGTATGATGCACACTTGTTTTAAGAAAGGTCACTGGGGGAGGGAAGATTGAGGAAACACTTCTTCCTGTCTGCAGCACACTGATGACATCATCTCAGCCTAGGCACAGTCACTGGACTGGAGCTCAAGCACTGATCTTTAACAATACGCATACAGTTTTTGGAGCATGTTGCTGTGTACGGTGAAGTGTCCAGTTTATTATGCAGAGTCGGCAGGGAGGGGGAGGGAGCTGTGCAGTTTGTACAAATGACGAGGATGCGGAGCGTAGCGGGGACAGTTGGGATGTGGGCGGAATTTTGTTTTTCTCCATCAGAATCTCTGCAGCGGCGACTGATCCCGTTCTCGCCTCCTGTTTCCCCAACAATGCGCAGCAGCGGGAGAGATAACAACTATCAGATGTAGACCGCGGTAAGCCGCGCATCCCAGGGAACATGGCAGCCGCTGACTTGTATTTAAAGGTGCGCCTCTGCTCTCAGGTTTACCACCTCGTCACTGGAACAAGCATGCATCCAGTGAAGTCCGAGTTCTGAACATTCTTTGATTTTTATCTTGTTTGTTGCAGGTCTGGGGACTCGCAGCCAGGCGGGCCACCCATAGCAGCCTACATGACTTCAAGGACAGGTGCACAGTGAAAAGGTCCTGGGATGTCATCCTTATCCTTGTATTACATGTATACATATATTAGGCATCCCCTGCATCAGGAATTTAATTTGTGGCAAGATACTCCCTATGGGTTCATTACTACTAAAGGGATGCCGGAACTGCACCTTTCCTCATTACAACACAGGAAGTCCACCAGCTGGTTATAATTAACCCATTCAGGGACCAGACCCCTCCCCATTCAGGGGTCGGACCCCTCCCCATTCAGGGGTCGGACCCCTCCCCATTCAGGGGTCGGACCCCTCCCCATTCAGGGGTCGGACCCCTACCCATTCAGGAATCAGACCCCTCCCCATTCAGGAAAAGGACCCCTCCCCATTCAGGGGTTGGACCCCTCCCCATTCTGCGGTTGGACCCCTCCCCATTCAGGGGTCGGACCCCTCCCCATTCAGGGGTCGGACCCCTCCCCATTCAGGGGTCGGACCCCTCCCCATTCAGGGGTCGGACCCCTCCCCATTCAGGGGTCGGACCCCTCCCCATTCAGGGGTCGGACCCCTCCCCATTCAGGGGTCGGACCCCTACCCATTCAGGAATCGGACCCCTCCCCATTCAGGAAAAGGACCCCTCCCCATTCAGGGGTTGGACCCCTCCCCATTCAGGGGTTGGACCCCTCCCCATTCAGGGGTCGGACCCCTCCCCATTCAGGGGTCGGACCCCTCCCCATTCAGGGGTCGGACCCCTCCCCATTCAGGGGTCGGACCCCTACCCTCCCATTCTGGAATCAGACCCCTCCCATTATGGAATCAGACACCTCCCATTCAGGGCTCAGTCTGCAAAGGACATGCTGCAACAAACTGCTTTTTCTGCAGAACAGAAACGGGAAGGAATCTGTAACAAAGTTTGTTAAAATCCTTGTAATGTTCAAAAATCAGATTTTTTTCTCAACAAAAGTGGAGTTACTCTTTAAGGACCTAAAGCTAATTTTGCGATAAGAGAAGAATATTTAACTTAATCCACGGTCTCCCGCCATCCTGCGCTCTTCTTTGCTTCTGTACCAGTCTCTGAAAGTGGGAGTGCACACTGTGTGTATGTGTGGGATGCCATTAAAGTTCATGTGCGTGTAAAGTCCGGCGTCCCAATACTTTTGGTGATACAGTGTATATATAAATATCTGTGTAATAATAATATTATATATTGGTATAAAAACATAATTCTTCTCACTTCACCATTTGTCAGGAACACGGCTACCATATTGAAAGTCACGTCCTTTATTGAGCCCAAATATTACACCAATAGTTGTGAAAACTATCCAGTAGCACATTAAATATGAAGTGCTTCAACGTTTATATACAGAACGCCTGAACAAGGAAGTGAAAAAGGACGAGAGAACAGAATGAACCAATTGTAAACGTTAGAGGCAGCAAGGACAATCCAGTTGTTGCTCAACTACATCTGTGGCATCAATTGTACGGCACCGGTTAATTTTTGTTTTCTTTCTTTAAACCGCACGGCGTGTTTAAAACAGAAATAAAAGCTGATTTCCGTTCTGCGCAAAACTGCAATTTGTACACAGGATCATTTTGTACAAAATATGAAGTCTAAAGTTTTATTACTTATTACCATAAAACAAAGTACAATGTATGTACAATATTAAAATGAAGCCATACTACAGCCACGCTAAAAAGACACTTTGTCATAGGTACTGTTGACATTCCTTATCTACAGGTAAAAATCGTTTTCGGGAAAAAAAAAAAGGTGTGAACAATGAAAACTTTATCGAGAAAGACAATCACCAACAAAAAAAAAACAAAACAGGTTTCTTTCGGTCCGCTGATGTTACTAGCTCGGTATTATCTACACCACCATAGTATGTTTTATTGAGGAGGATTAAAAACACAAAACAAAATGTATTATTTCTAATTTGGGTACGGAATACGATAAACCATGGGCCTAGAAATTGGGGCAGGAAAAAAGAAAAAGGAGAGCCCCATAGTGTTTTTCTTTTTCCCTAATTTTGTGAATGTTTGCCTTCAATAAAGAAAAACAAAAACACAAAAACAACGAAAATAGATGAGCTTACACAGTCAACCAAACATCGATATACAGGCTGCAGGAAGTAAAATGAATGAGGGTTGAAGCGATGTATTTGCTCATGTACAAAAAGAAGGAAATTCATCGAACTGCAAAAGACGGAGGTTCAAACAATGGTATTTATCAAATACGTGTACAACATACAAGCACCCAGTGCCCCTTAGCCCTCATTCACACTGGAATCTGCCCGCGCACACAGCTCCGCCCCCCCCCCCCCCCCCCCCCAGCGCCGCCCCCAC